CAAATTCGTCCTTTTATGACACGTTTTCTAGATGCTTATAATAGTAGTCTATAGTTGTGTTTGGAGTGTGTAAAAAGTGACTTATATGATAGTGTTGCCCATACGTTGCTGTTTAATCCGGTAAATAAAAATTTAATTCCACAATATTTAGCAAACAATAAATCCATTTTCCGGACAACTTTTTCAGGGTGCCTGAACCCCGCGAGGACGCCGGCGTCCTTGCGGGGTGGAGGAGGTTAAGACACACATCCAATATTACTCAACCTGAGAGGACCCTCGCTGACCATGTCTGACATTGATTAACTTTGTTAATACAAAAAGGGCCAAAACACTGAGTGGTCAGACAGTAAAAAACAGATAAGTCATAGTGGAAAAGTAGCCATCACAATAGCCATATTTCATATTGTGTTTCCACAGTTTTACAAATAAGAAAGATTCACACTAAAGTCTTGAAACTCTTCTACGGATTCCATGGTCTTTATTTCACGGATCTACTGTTAGCGATCTGCTAAGCTTTCCTGCACGAGCAGAATAGAGTGAGAGACGTGTGTTGACCACATTTATGGACCATAATCCAGTAAATGTTTATGTGCAAGTGTTGATTTTAAAGTAAATTTAATGTGAGAGAGAGAGATAGAGATAGACCCGCAGCACTGTAACTAAGCCTGAAAAATAAAACTTCTAAAACTTTCCACGAAATGTGTCTGTTTGAGTTTATAGAGGAATATTTTAGAGGAAGATCTTAAGTATCAAATACAACATTTCATTATTAAAGACTACTTTATTACTCTGTATTTTTTTTAAACTAAGCAACCAATCCACTTCCTGTTTACACCGTCACGTGCATGCCCAGTGTACGTTAATGGTCACGTGCTGCCCGTCTTCGAAGGTTGCCATGTGGATGCAGATCAATTCTAAAATGATGCTGAAACGCCCGTGTGGACGGAGATCGTTTCTATTTGACAAATCTGCTTCCAAATAGAAACGTAGTAGTATGGATGTAGCCTAGAGGTGAGATATTAATGCAAATGAAATGAAAAAGCCGCGTTCTGACGGTGAATTGTATCATGACACACTGTCAGTGTCATGATTCTAAGCATAGAAAATGCTTGTGTTGTGTCTTTTCTGAGATGTGATTGAAATGATGTTGACATTGCAGCCATTAAAACGAGGCGTACTTGGTTTGAACTTCGGTGTAAATATAACATAATTTCAATGTATGGAGCCAAATCCAGGCCAATAGTTTTGATCATTTGAAAAAAAGAAATGGTGTATAGAAAGCATTGAGTCATAATTCTCGCGGTACCTACATTTCCTGAAGGCAACGTGGTTGAGGAAGGTCCTCAGCCTTCTTTGTTATGCTGCCACTCATGATTACACGCCCCTCTCAGTTGATGCCACACACCCCGCGCCAGATCAAGGCCATGAATCTGAAAAAACATCTAAAACTGAAAAAAACGATTTGAAACCGAAAAAAACAAGATCTGAAAATGTAAGATTTGTATCTGGAAAAATACAAGACTTAACTATCAAATTATATGACAGTGAATAATGAAAAAAAATATTTTATTCAAAACAATTCCAGAACTGAATCAAAGTTATATTTAAAAGTCTGAAAAGTGTCCTAAACTTGCATTCTCCTCTGGTTGTATAGAAGTCTATGAGAAAATGACTCTACTTCTCTCTTGATTTATTACCTCAGTAAACATTGTAAACATGAGTTTATGGTCTCAATCTCTAGTTTCAAGTCTTCTTCAATACAGCATGATGTTCATTTAGTACATTATGGTCCATTTAGAGTCACACAGACCATAAAGCAGGGGATGCTTTAGGGCGGGTCTTTTTTGTTACTGGAGCTGTGTCCGGTGTCTCTACGTCACTCCTCCACAGTCCAAATATGGTCATTTCTGTTCACTGGTTGCAAAAATCCAAGATGGCGACTGCCAAAATTTCTAACTTAAGGCTTCAAAACTGCAGTCCGCTTCTTATAGACAGTAAATGCTTTGAACAGAGAGTCATGTGGAGGATAACAGCACCAGCAGACCTGGGACCAGCTAGTCTCACAAAGCCAGACCACAGCGCTGAGCTGAGCACCTGCCTCTAAACGCATCATACATGCGTAAAATAATAAATACGTAAAAGTAGCAAGACGAATGTATCCAAATGTACAAATAAAGATTTTATTGTAAAATCTACTCAAGTAAGAGTAAAATGTAAGCTGCATTAAAACTACTCTGTCAAGTACAAGTTACTCCAAAACGTTACTTGAGTACGTGTAACTCATTACTACTCCCCTCTGGATTCATAATCTACTGTATGTGTGATGTTGTCAAACAGGGTGGGGAAAGGCTTCTCTAATTTGAAAGCCAAATAGAAAATGAAAGGGAAAGAGGGGAGGGACAATGTATGGGTAAATACTGAATACAATTTAAATCTATAAAATGGCCACCAGCGAGTTAAACTAGCCTAGTTTATAATCATCCATTAACCTGTTAAGCCTTCATAAAATCACACTTCAAGCACCCTTCCCTCTCCAGTTTGATGGTTGTCTTCTTTGGGATTGGAAACTCACTCTTGAATATTGTAACAAGTTTCTTCTGAAATAGGAGCTCATTGGTTGCAAAACAGGTTGCAATCAGTGCTTGAAGTTGAAAAATAAGTGTACTCTCCTTATTCACACCTTGGTGTGTTTTTACCGTCCGGCCTCTGCAATCTCTTACATATTGTTATTTATTTATTCTGTCTTTAAGCATGTTTAGCCTTTTGTATCTGTCATCACTTGTGATTTCCTTGATATATTATTATACTTGGGCTTTGCATCTTCTATAGTAGGCCTATAGTACTCCAATAATATTAGTGTTAAGGTGCTGTGTTTGTGTATTTACATTTTGACAAAGTGTTTATACTCAAAGGGCTTGTTTTGGTGTTATTTGTAGCCTATAGCATCGCTCTATAATATATTATGGGATGCCTACAGCCTGGAATCAACACCAGCCAGACAGGGTGTGAGCTATTCATTCAGGTTTTATTAGCAGTGTCCCAGTCACGACGCTAACATTAAGCAGCAGGATAAAGACACACAATCTGAATTTCAAAGTCACTAAAAGATGCAAGGAGCTGTTGAGTTTAGGGTTCCTGTCTCAAGAAAAGGTTTTTGACTGAAAACTATACTTTATAATTTTGGACTATTACATTTAATTCTTCTGGAAAAGTTAGCTATTCTGTAAATCAAAAGAGCAGATTCAGAAAACTCTTCAATAATGTTTCATTCATAAAATTAAATTTATATTCAAAATCACCCAGAGAACCTGATGGAGAGGGTAGAAAAGAGTACAGCTTGTGAGACGTGCTGGTACACAAGAAAAAGTCCCACGCCAAGGAGTGCAATGTAGAAGTCGTGCTGGTACTACATCAGCCAACCTCGAGCACTGATTGTAATGCTAACAAAGGAGGTTACTTTCCTGATTGACCCTTGGCTATGCCCCCTGTTGAATTTTTCTGTTACCTCTAAAATGTCTTTAGAAATAAATGGAAATGTACCACATTTGTATCATCAGTATATTTTAATAGAATGTCCAAAGTAAATTAACATTTTTTTGTATTTTTCAACAAGAACAAACAGAAAATATGACATGGCCAGTAATAAAGACACCCTTTGTTAACATTTGGTTGATCACGCTTTGGCAATGATTACTGCCTCCAAAAGGCAGTTTTGCAGGACTATTTCCCCATTGGCAGATTTTGTCTCTCTCCAAAGATTTTGGATGGGATAGAGATCAGGACTCATTGCTGGCTAGATTAAAACAGTCCATTTAATCTCATATGTGCTTGTAGATGTGCTTTGGGTCTGTATCGTGCTGGAGAACTCATGATCTTTGTCCCAAACCAAGTTTTCTCATGCTGGATAGCACATTTCACTCTAAAATCCCATGGTAATCCTATGATTTCATGATTCCTTCAATACGGTCAAGGCCTCCAGCCCCAGAGGCAGCAAAGCAGCCCCATGACGTTATGTCATGCTTAACTGTAGGTAGGGTGTTCTTTTCTTTAGAAGCTTAATTTGGTCGTCTATAAACAAAGTCGCTAGTGTGCCTTGCCAAAAAGCTCTATTTTGGTTTTGTCTGTCCACAGAACATTTGCCCAGAAGGGTTGTGGTTTGTCCAGGTACTCATTGGCAAAGATCAGTCATTCCTTTTTATGTCCTTGTTACAGCAGTGGGGTCTTCTTTGGCCTTCGCCCATTAAACCCTTCTTGGTATAGTTTGTGGCGTAGGGTCCGTCTTCAAACCATGACTCTAGATTGTTAAAGGTCAGCCTTCAGCTCCTTGGACATTTTTGCGTGGTGGTTTCTTTCCCACTTCGCACCGAACTACAAAGACTCCTCATTGATTTTCCTCTTCCCCCATGCCCAGGGAGGTTCTTGACAGTTGCAAACTTCTTAATAACATTGTGCACTGTTAAAACAGGGATACCAAGGTATTTTAAGATGGCCTTGTACCCTTTAGAGGTCTTGTGTTTGTTGATAATAGCACTTCTGATGCTGTCAGACAGCTCCATTGTCTTCACCATTGTGGAAAAAGAGAAGAGGGAATAACATGAGGCTTTTTTTAAGCATGTCATTGGCTAAAGCGGATCCTCGGCTCGACCGCCGGCTCCACTAGTCCATGTTGATGTGTCCTTGGGCAAGACGCTTAATCCCAAATCCTGTAGCTGTGCCTACGGTGTATGAATGTGTATGAATGTTGTCTGAATGTCAGTTAGTCCTGATGGGCAGGTGGCACCTTGTATGGTAGCCCCTCCCATCAGTGTATGAATGGGTGTGAATGGGTGAATGATGTCATGTAGTGTTAAAGAGCTTTGAGTGGTCGGAAGACTAGAAAAGAGAAATACAAGTACAGTCCATTTTTGTCTGTTTTTATAGGATTACCGTAACAGCCTAAAATACGTGAAATTCCACTTCAACAACTCAACTCCTTCATTTGTCCTCCAATGTTCACACAGATGTGCTAATGCCGTCAGCGCCCCCCACCCTACTGCAGCGGTCTGTCCCGACTCCGTCTCCTCTGCTTTCCTGTCTGGACCATCATCTCCCGGGGCCACAGTCTCCTCGCAGTCTAGCCAAAGGCCCAGCACGCTGGCTATGGAGCAGACGCAGCTCCCCGTCACAGGCACGAGAAAGGCCAAGGTCCTGTATGACTACGACGCCCACGATGTAAGCGAGCTGTCCCTCTTGGCTGATGAGGTAAAGTAGGATATTCTGATTCACCCCACACCCACATCTCTGTTAGATAAGGAGCTGGACCTACTCGTGAACAGAAAGCAGCTAGAAGACTTTTAGTTGTGAGACTGGTACAGAGTACAGAATATTGAATATTAAAAATCTATATACACTTTGAGCATTTCTGCTTCTCATATTTAGGCTGAAAATATATACCTCAGTTTCTCACATGTGGACCAACCCATCTACCAACCCATCTTTAAAATTAAAAGTTTTAAGCCGCCATTTACTTATTCATTGCAGGGTCCGAAGGGGCTGTGGCCTTTCCCCGCATACACTCATTAAGAGATAGGTTCACATTTTTCAAATGTGTCTCAAAACAATATTCACATATGTATCTTGAAATAATTATTATACGCCTGGGGACAGGTCGTGTGTGTGTGTGTGTGCGTGTGACTGAGCATGCGCCTTTCTGCAGCAAATTGCATCATGTTCTGGGTGTCCAGTTGGGGCTGCATGATCCAGCTCCTCTAGTGGTTTCACTAGTAATAACACAGCTGAGTGCATCTCTGACCCCCATCTGCTACTCTGTGACCAGAGAAACTTGGAGAGTTTGATTTTGTGTTTTGGCACAATTGTATGAGGTGTATTATACATGACTTGGAGCCTGGTGCTTGTATGAAGTTACTTGTTTTTGAGTTTGAATGAAGTTTGTTTGATGACGCTTTACAGCACTGGTTGTATTCATTTTAATCACACACTACAGCAGTGGTGGTTGCAGACACCTGGTGGAGATCTTCACATTCTACTGAGTCCACCTCTCTAGTTGTGATTCTTCCACCTGTCCATACCGGCCCTGAGGTGATCTCTTTTCAGGACAACTTCAATGTAAGAGATGGAAAACAAGTTCCACAGTCTTTATTCTTTGAAAACATCTATACAGGACCATTTGGTTTACAGGACCTTTAAAGGGGAACTGCACTGACTTTACACTTCCAAGTGTGTTTTCAGGTTTTGGGGAGTAGTTGTAAAGTTCTAGCTTTTAGAGTCTCCAGAGAGATCTGTGTGAAGTCTGATAAATGTCCTCAAGGGATTCATTTGAGTCAGTTGGGTATGAAGACTTGGAAGAACGTGGCTACAAGTTCTGAATTTCCGAGGACTACAGTGCAGATGTTCTGAAGCTGCGGGTCAAATAGGATGTCATGGCTGAACGTTATAAAAGTGGGCTCCAAGCATTCTCCACAGCAGCGAGAAGAGGTGGTTGCCGTCTGTTTGTGAAGCTACCAACCTTATTGAGAAGTTAGGGAAGAGCTTCTCCAGTGCACAGAAGACTCTTTCGTGATCTACTAAGCGATGATGCATGACTAGTGACACTACATACTTGCTGATATGGACAATCTGGTACCTGTGAGTAAATAACTATGGACAAAGGACCAGTTTGTCCCCCACTTTATATGGTCTAGTTAACACTTTTTTACAAATTAGCTGGGCTTGCTGGTGTGCTTTATTCTCCATGTCTTATTTTGTTTGTTAGTTATATCATAAGTTTAAGTTTAGCCAAAGAATAAATACAGCTGACCAGTCAAGGCGAGCTATTCTCTTTTTGTGTGTGAGCTGTCTTAGCTCGGAGAGGTCATTGAATTAAAGCTATATTGCTGTAACCATTGGATGTGTCTCTGTGCTCCTCAGGAGTGTAGATGCATCGTAAAACAAGAAAGGTGGGGTCATAACATCTTGTCGGCTCAGCCTTAAATTGATTTGAGTGACCCCCAGTTATTATGTCTTATCTGCTGTGAGTCTATCCAGGCACGGAGTCAACTCGCTTAGTGACCTATGGGGCGGAGGCCGTTTCTGGGAGAAGTTTAATAGTTAAAATTTTGTCATTGTTGTTATTATCACATTTTAGTTTTCATAATCTGTCTGTCGTTGCTCACTAGACCTGAGACTACAGCCTGGATCTTGACCAGTGGTTAGCGCTGCTCTACACTCTTCAAACAGGCCCGTCATGTATGCTAGCAACACTGCTAATGCAAGCTGTCTCTAACTCTGTCCTAGCTTGTTTCTTTGACTTGGACATATTTTTTGCTGTAGTCTTGACATCAAATAATCAACTTCGTAAAAAGCAAAAATAGGATTTAAAATGAAAAGTTTTTAGCAGGAGCTAGAAAACTGTGTGTTGACTCCATACTCTGCAACCCGGAAGTCACCAGGCTTTTATTTGAAGCAGAATCCTGTTATTTGCTGACAAAGCTTTTAATTTGAAATGTCCGTGAAAGTGATCCTGCCTTATTTGTCTCACACAGAACTGAATTGACCTCCAATTTGAGGAAAACTATATCTTTGTTTATTCAAGTAACTGCAAATAATACAAGAGGCAGAGCAGGAGGAAAGCTGCATGGTTGGCAGTGAATAGAAGGACAATGACAGGAGTTAATGGCAATCAAGTGTTTGGTAAAAGTTGCATAATTATCAGCTTATGGATTATCAGCACAATACTGTTGTCAAACCGCTAGCCATGCTACTTCCTGGAGTTATTGCTTGTGATCTTTATTTCCTGTCCTGTCTGCTCTTTGCCTTGGCCTTAGAGGAAGTGGAGGCAGATATGGAGCATAAAAAACGGAAGATAATGCAAATATCAACACATGACGTTACATTATTTTGCTTTCTGTTTCCCTTTGCTTGGGAAACGACCTCGGTATTAGTTGTTGTTGTTTTTTCTTGTTTAAATAGCTTCACTTTTGTAAAACATCTTTTACGAAATGTTTCTTAAAATGTCCTGTTTTTTTGTTTCTCCAGCTCATTACTGTATACACCGTACCAGGAATGGATCCTGATTGGTTGATTGGAGAACGGGGGAACCAAAAGGGAAAAGTCCCTGTCACCTACCTTGAACTGCTGAGCTAAGGGACCAAACAACAGGACACACACACACACACACACACACACACACACACACACACATATACATATACACACACACATTTAGTACACTTGCATTTTGATCTTAAACACTTATGCAACCCTGTCTGTTGGGAAATTTTCTATAAATACAGATGACTCATGGGAGGAAATTGCAACAAGCGCTTGTAACTGTGTGAGCAACAGTTTTGTTTGATGTGGCCACATGGGTCATTATTACAGTCTCCCTCTTAGTCCAGTAATGTGTGTGCGAGTGTGATGAGGCCACAGTTACAACTACACTCCCTCATTTTGTTAACAGAGCAGTTTGAGTGTTTTTGTGTGAAAACTGAAACTTAATTCTTCTCAATCTTTCATTTGTGTTTTTACCACAAAGCATTTATGAGGCATTCAAAGACATCACATAATCCATTAAAAGATCATTCCGATTTATTACGACTTGGGTCTTATTGTTGTAGTTTGGGCCATCATTTGTATCGATTATGATGATGTTGTCCTCACCAAAGTAAGTGCTGAGAATTGGGAGCATAGTGACATGGCTACAACAGAGTTTGATGGGGCAAGAAACACAAGCTGGCTAAGAAAAAAGACAGTTGCCAAAAGTCCAACAATTTCACCAGACTGTCTAAACTACTTTCTAGTGCTGAAGTACAATGGGAACTTTGGGATTCTGCTTTACATTTGTAATGAGAATTGAGAAGAATCTTGGAACATAACCATACTACCATAGTAGTATACCAAGCCCAAGACCACTGTGGTTCCATGTCACCTGCTTGAGTGCATTGATGAGTTAAAGTGGTGAGTCGACCACAAGTACCCAACGTGTAATAAAGCAGAAGGATCCTTTGCAGGATAATGAAATGTGATGAATTCTACCTGCTGGCTTCCTCTTCTCTCCGGTCCACTTTCAACTTCACAATCTCCAACTGTGACAATCTGTGACTATTTCATCATCTGTTCTTAAAACTCAGCAATACAAATACATCAGTCAGCTGCTGAGAAGGGCTTTCAACTCAAATGGAATGATAATTCTGGATTTGTATGTTGTGTATGTTGCTGTACTGTGAAGTTTCTGATACAATTTTCAAATACAGAAAATCATGAGTCATATCGTCATCACCATCTTAATAGTGTAATGACTCTTGCTGTTGGTTTGTGTAATGACTGCTGTATAGTGATATAGTGACCATGCTGAGTCATCATGTTTTCTTCAAGGACAACATGACACAGCTTGTACTCATATTCTGGAGCTATAGCTGCTTAGTTCACAGTTAAATGTGAACTTCTAAAATATTTTTGGACAAACGTAACACAAATGTTCTTCCTGTATTAGGAGCAGTTCGACTACATCTCCATGTATCATCAAGTCGAACAATAAAGGGGTTCATGAGGATGATTACAAAGTGAAGTTAGCCTGAAGAAGTGTTGCAACAACACAGGCACAACATGATAACTGTCTGCAGACAGAGATTGTTAGCCTTACATATGACACTTTGTGAGAGTTTGGAATGATTTGAAACAGAGGAGCAGTGTGTCGCAAATTAGCAGTCATGCAGGAATCACTTATTCTTCCAATGCAACAGCGACATGACATAACTGTGTCTCCAGGTGTTTCTATGTCTTGTTTGCTTTATTTTCATGATCACAGTGATTATGTAATGTGCTTAGTTTCCCACACACCCACTTGACTCCCAGCCTTCCAGCTCCCTTACGGAGAACATCCTCTCAACACACACAGCATGCGGGGGGGAAGTCAGGCAAACTGCCTTATGAGGTCAAAAGGGCAAAGGGAGAGTTGGAGCATCCTCCAATTACTAAGAATTTCAAACTGTCTCCATAGTAGTAGACCTACTTGGCCTGTAATTTGTATAATGCCATTACAATAAGTGTTGCAACAGTTCTTGGAAGCAGAGTTCTACAGTTTGCTGTGATTTGTGATAAGCTGATGGATCTCATGTATTCAGGAGAACAGGTCACAATCATCAGGGGCAAAGAAATGACTCAGCAACTTGTGAGAAAGTGGAATGTTGTATGACTAATGTTTATTGTGTGCAACTAACTACAGATGATGGAAAGTCTTTATTACCTCACCAGTGGCAGTGCAATACGTGTGAGTCATAGCTGTGTGTAATGTAAGTCTTTCAAAGGGAATCCCAAGTTTGATTTCACATCACAAGTTGCTAACAACAGACGCTAGAGTATCCAGTAGTTTAGTGTATTTGAGATAGATATTCCTGGTTCCCATAAGATGATGCTGAATGATGTTTAGAGACATCTTTGGGACAAATATCCTCTTATTTTAGATCGGACCGTCAGAACGCCGTGACATTTGCTGAGTACATTCATGCTTTCCTCTAGCGTCACCTTTAGGACTGAATTAATGTTTGTAGCTCTATTACTGATGAGGCTGTAACAACCACAATATCTTTGCTCAATTTGTATTTTTGAGTGAAATGAACATTGCAGCAAAGCTTTAGAAAGTTGGCCTTTATAACTTATTGGATGTTTGAGCATTAAAGTATTTCTTTACCTTGGTTAAGGTAATTCATCTTATCTCATTGCCCAATATCTGTCTTTTTCCAGAGCTTTCCACTGAATTTCACAGTTTTCATCAGCCGATGGAGTTCAAACACGGATGACAACTGAGCAAACTCCATCCAGCCATGTGGAAAGCTCTGGAAATAGCTTGTCAATGGACTAAAGAGTTAAGATTGTTTTGTCAAACTATTGAATATTCTCTTTCTTATATGAACAGGCTACCTGACGGACTGAAGAACACATCATTTGTAGCATGCAAATTGTAGAAACTAGTCTGTTCTGACTGGATTTCACACTCCATATCGTGTGTGTGTGTGTGTGTGTGTGTGTGTGTGCATGTGCGTGTGTGTGTGTGGGGGGGTGTGTGCACGTAAATGAATTCAGGATTTCAAAGCACGCTATTTTTATGGACTCTGTTTCCTGTTTCTTTCGTGTTTTTAATTTAGCGTGTTGTTACATACCTGGGGGGGAGGGACTATGAAATGTCCAGACATTGTAATTCAAGTCACATACTTGTAATTTTCCAACTCATGGCCACTGGTTTGATGTGCAATAAACATGCATGTGTGTTACAGTAATATGAGTGTCTGCTTCTTGAATATCCGCAGCACAGATGAGTATTTTGCAAAACTTTACACAATTTATTTTGTGTTAAAGAATTGGTTGGAAGAAATTTGATAGTTGCTTTATTTACACAGATCAGGCGGTCCTGCCCCTTCCATTGGACCACCATGGGACTGTAGATTCCATGGATTAAACATGTTTGTCAATTTACTGATAGTTGTACACGTCAAGAAAGTTAAATTTTGTCATATAACTATTGAAGTACAAGACTGAAAATACATAATTGCAGAGACTACACCAAAAGGGTCGTAAGTGACGTCTCGCTCTAAAGCTGGTTTTTTCCAGGATGTACTCGCACCAACAAAAGGTCTTGCTTGTTCTTTCTCTTCCCGACTAGTAAGATAACATTACAATTGTGTATGGAAAATAGCTAAATGAGCTAGCTTTTGGTGACGTACATTGTGCAAAACGAGAGAAGTAGTTCACTGAGCAGTTTCATAAAAAACTAAATGATACTACGACATATTTACTGCTTGCAACATTGTTGCAGTAAGCCAAGTGTTGGTTGGCTCCAGTTACTGCAAGCTGCTGGTTTACACATTGTAACCGGATATTTCCAAATAAGTCATAAAAAACTCATACTCATAGTATGATATGATAATAGGAAAAATATTTAGAATACATGTGTATTTATGAAAAATAACATTATAAAATAGCAATAACTTTGTGATTCTGTCTAGGCCAGCAGAGAAGGCTTTGCTGGTCCTGACGGCCCACCACTGCATAAAAGTCATAAAAAGTCATAGTATAGTATATGGAAAAAATCACAAATGATTTGCAGTAAAGCTGTCCTGTTAGAAAATACTTTGCTGTCATTCTGACAGGCCATGATGCAAATCTGGTGATTTTTGTCTTGTGGTTCTGCTGTGAAAAGATTTGTGGAATGTGAGGATATTTCTGTAGATTTTAAATATAGTAATCTCAGATTGTCAAAACACTTGTGAAGTGTATCTGCAACACGGGGAGGAAATTGACTTGACACATATTTGGCCCTATCCCAGACCTTATTCTCTTTTATGGCATACAAGCCAAAGCTGCCATGTAGATCCAGATTCAAGCAGAGGCTAGATTGCCCTTCATCAGCAGATATTTTACCGATTCTAAACCCCTAGCTTGCACCATCTACGGTTCCTTCTCCCACACAACCTCCCTCTAAACTGCACTGCATTGCAGGAACTGTCCACATCGAAAACTCAGCCAAAAAAATCCTTTGGTCAGTCCAGTAAGCCATGTCCCAAGGTTACAGCCACCTTTTCCCTCAGGAAAAGGAAGTCTCCTATCTGCTTTATTTCAATAAGAATGTTTGTACTTATAAATATATGAGTGTGTGTAATTAGTGTGGAGACAGCCACCCACAGTCTCGGTGTGTCCCAGGACGGGGAAACAAATTCAAAGCACCCTTCGACTCCAGTGAATTTCCCAGCTCTGTCTGAGGTTCTTTCAAAGTACCCCAATAGATGCTTTGTCAATTACATTATAACTGGCTTAGTTCAACGATTCCTAGCAGGTCTCTGCTGGCTCCCAAAAGGGACCCATGTCTGTAAAAACCTGCTGTCTGCTCTTAAGGAGCCAGAAGTAGTAGACGAGCTCATACACGGTGGGTCCATTGTCAGAATCCCCCTTTTCTCTCTTCAGAGTGTGACTCATTGCTGTTGCTACCAGGATCAATCATGAGACAAAAAAGTCTCATGATTGATCCCTCAGCTGCTCACCATTCTTGTGTGCATCATACGGGAACATACAACTTCTTGTAGGCAACAGTCGCTGATGTGATGGACATGCTGTGTAGTATTTTCCGAAAAAGTAAAAGGAGGCCTATGTTATATTTAAAAGTCAAGTTTATTTGTATAGTCCAATATCACAACAATGGCATTGTAGGACCACAGCAGCAAAAGTGTTCCCAATCACACCACGATTTCCAAGTCAAACAAATGACTGTAAAGTTGTTAAAGTTCTTTTAAAGAGATAATACAACAATTAGACTGTAATCAGTAAAAACAGTAAAATCAAAGACCAATACAAAATATCCAATGAGTCCAGTACAGTAATATAATCTCGTTGCAACATTCACATACACTGAAGCTGAGTCATCATAATGAATAACAGTCTTTCTTGTCAGAAGTGTAGCGATGACACAGATGCACCCATAGGAACAAACGTACAAAAATAACTCATGATAGAATAAGAAGCAAAATACAGTTAACATAAGTTATTTTCGCTCATTTATTCATAGTTCTTAATATTTGTTAGTGCTTCATAACTCATAAAATAATTCCTGAGTACACTCAATATCTGGAAGCCGTATTGTCACAGTTCACCTACGTTTACTTACATGCCATGGATAGCTGGCATGTTTTGGCACATGGTTTTGAATTGATGCTGAAAATGAGCTGTGTCTAATGTGTTTATATATGTTTGTATCAGATGATTTTCACAAATGAGCAGTTTTATACCAAAATTGATAATTCAGATTTTAGTGAAAGGCTAACACTAGGCTAACCTAAGAGCCACTGTAAACAGTAGCAGTTGCTTCATTCAAAGCTAGCTTTAAGCTAACGCAATGCTGAATTTATAACCCTACAATGTACCTCAGCGCATGGAAGTGAATGGATCTTGAGTGGAGATGTTTACTCACACCCATGGGAGATTCTGGAGACACCGCCATCATCAAAACACCAGATGAATGAATAGTTTTTCCGATGGAAGAATGCTGTTCATCCCTCCAATCAAATCTATGTCAAGGATCATTAAAGCTGTTCTGGAGAACAACAAGGTGGAACAACAAGTCATTTTCTGTCATTTCTCAACCATTTGCATATACTATGCATCTTTCAAACATGAATACTCAATTATTTAGAGTGATGATTAATGACCCAAAATTGACTTTTTAGTAAAGAAATATTTTACGAATTCATTATTGACACATACACCAAAGACGAGGCATATTCTCTATACCAGATAAGCATCAAATACTGAGTATGTGATCAGTTTGTAACCCTGTCTGATCCACACACTCACATGATCTCCTTTCAACAATTCAAAAAGCTGACCTACGAACGTGCTCTTGGACCCTGGGAGTGCATGTTATGCCATCCCAGGCCTTCATTCCAGTTGTGCAGCTTAAAGCAATCCTCACATCAACAAAATAAAAGCTGTCCTCACGAATCACAATGGCACGTTTCTCTTTGTTGTATTTTTCACCAAACACGACTTTCCATTTGAGGTATTGTGGATCAGTCTTGTCATTTGCAAACTCAGACCCTGTAGGAAGAGGGATATACAGTGAGTCAAACATTTCATTTGAACAAATCCCTCTTGTATTATTGTCTATGGCAACTGTGGCTCACTGGTACAACGTGTATCCTTTAATCAGAGGAACGGCGGTTTGATCCCCAGCTCCGATAGTCAATGTTGATGTGTCCTTGGGCAAGACACTTAACCTCAAATTGCTCCCTGTACCTGTGCCTGCGGTGTGTGATTGTTCATGACTGACTACATCGTCTTGATGCCCTGTCATCGGTGTATGAATGGGTGTGAATTGGTGAATGATGACATGTAGTGTTAAAGAGCTTTGAGTGGTCAGAAGACTAGAAAAGAGAAATGCAAGTAGAGTCCATTTATTTTGTATTGTGATAAATGATGAAATGTTCACTATGTTTAAAAAGCTTAAGATACTGTATGCATCTTTGAAACAGAACTTCTATATAAATACAATCATGCTGGGGGCCTGTTTCTCATCTGGCTTTCATGTACTCATACAGTTTCAGAGTGTGCTGCAGTTTTTAAGGATTGGTTATGTTTTGAGATGTTGTAAACAAGGTGGGCTGCACTCTCTGTTTGTTCATCTTTGGACAGATATTTTGGTCCATCCACATTGAATTTAACACAAATAATTATGATAGATGAAACTATAATAAAATGTAAAAATATGAACTAACATAAACATCTGTGTTTCAGTCTCTATCAGCCAAAACCCAAATCATGCACAAAGTAGTGAAATCTCAATAAAGAAAAACACTTACTAAGATCAATGTGCAGTCTTTTGGAGTTTGTTTGACGATGTGTAGAAAGAGAGGAGAGAGAGGTTCAACACAGTGCTGCTGGATCACTCATATTCCTATTCCATATTCATATGTACTCATATTCCAGGGAAAACCCTGATCATGCAACACCAGGCAGAATGACATCGCTGTCTGAGTTAGAAAGTAGGGCACCAAATGAGATATCATGGTGCTTTGGGAGTAGAGAGAGGTTAAAAAAAATGTTGGAATATTCTTAATTCCATATATGGTCAATGTTATTAAACATAAAATGAATGACACATACCTGTAGGGACCTGTGTAGGCTGGAC